GACCGACCGACCGACCGACCGACCGACCGACTGAACGACGACTGACTAACTGACTGACTGACTGACTACTGACTGACTGACTGACTGACTGACCAACCGACACCGACCGACCGACTGACCGACTGACTGACTGACTGACTGACTGACTGACTGACTGACTGACTGACTGACTGACGACTGAGATGACTGACTGACTGGACTGACTGACACTGTGAACCGACTTTGAAGCTGACTGACTGACTGACTGACAAAGTGAGCGATTGAGTAAGTGAGCGAGAGAGCGAGAGAGTGAATTTGTAAGTGTGAATGCGCGAGTAAGTGCGAGAAAGACGTGCACACTATCTTCAAAATTTCACAAAAGAAACACATCAAAACCTTATTATTGATTCGAAAAGAAATAAACTTTACAAAGACGAGTTTCATAAAAGATATAAATAAGCGCAACTGTATACTTGTTCAGCTTCGCGAAGGTGCGTCATAAACATTAATTAATTTACACCCACACATACACGCGCGCGCGCACACACATGCAACAAACAAACAGTTATAAAACATACATACACATACGTTATAAAACATACATACATAATATACGTTATAAAATACATACACATACGTTATAAAACATACATACACATACGTTATAAAACATAATACACATACGTTATAAAACATACATACGCATACGTTATAAAACATACATACACAATACGTTATAAACATACGTTATACATACACATAGTTATAAAACATACACATAATAACATACACATACATACATACATACACATACATAAAACATACATACACATACATTAAAACAACATACATACACATAAACATACATATAAACATACATAATACGTTATAAAACATACATACACATACGTTATAAAACATACATTACACATACGTTATAAAACATACATACACATACGTTATAAAACATACATACACATACGCTCAAACTTAGAAAAAAAAACATACATGTAAACAAATATCAAATCATAAATAAACACACGCACACACTCATACAAACACAGAAATACACGTACATATTCAAACGAACACAGAAACACACATGCACGCAGGTGCACACGTGCAACCACACACGTGACAGTATGAGCGTATGTTCCTAACAGTGAAAAATAATTGGCTTTACTTATCAGAAAAAAATGTTGCAATAATGTTCATGATGATGATGATGATGATGGTGGTGTAATGGTGGTGGTGGTGTGTGATAATGATGGTGGTGATGGTGATGATGATGATGGGTGATGATGATGATGGTGGGGTGTGTGAATGATGGATGATGATGATGATGATGGTGATGACGATGATGATGATGATGATGATGATGATGATGATGATGATGATATGATATGATGGTGACAGATAATAAATAACAATAATGATAATGATGATAATCAAAATCATAATCATAATGGCAATAGCAATAAGAATGATAAATCCAATGATAAAGAAAGTTATAATGATAATATAATAATAGCAATAATAACATAATAATGACAATAATAATAATAATAATAATTAATAATAATAATAATAAAAATAATACAATAAATAAAATGATAATAATAACAATAACAATAATAATAACAAACTCTATGAAAACAAATAATAACTAATAATAATAATGAAAATAACAATAACCAAAACAATAACAAAGACCCCCCCCCCACATTCTCCGACCAACAACACAGATCATCGACAACAAATTACAGTCGTCCACTTTTCAGTCAAGTCTCCAGCGAGGACGCACTCCGCGAGACACACTCCTCACTCCCGCCACTCGCACACTACTCCTCACACTCCTCACACGTCAACACGTTCACTCTGGGCACCGCCGCGCAATTCCCGGACCTATCGATGGCAACACTTCTTTTTTTCTCTCCAATCCGAAAACGAGAAACGGTAAAAATAAAATAAAAAATAATAAAAAATAGCACCGGTTAATTGATTTTTACAGTCTGTTTATATCTTTCTCTCTCTCTCCTTCTCTCTCTCTAGTTTCCGTGATATGAATCTTGGAAAGTAGATATTCGCTATTTTTCTCCTTAACGAGTATGGGACCGAGAAACAGCCTAGTCGGCAACTCACACAACAATCACCAAACAGCCGACCAAAAGTTGTCTTGTTTTTCCACTTTCTTAATCTCTCTCTCTTGAGATTTGCTTCCTTGGGACTCAGGCTACGAAAGGGACTTGCTGCGCCGGGATTACTCATAGGATTTCTGTTCCTCATTCTTTCTCTGGGGCCGCTGGCATTAGCGGAACTGCATACTCGGCAACTTGGAATCGGTTCGTGTAATCCCGTGCTTTCGTTGAGCTTTCTCTGACATTTGTTTTTTTCCCTTTCTCTGAATGGTGTAGGCACGTGTATGCATAGAAATATACATACACAATACATACATACACACACATACACACACCACACACACACACACACACACACACACACATATATATATATATATATATATATATATATATTATATATATGTGTGGTGTGTGTGTGTGTGTGTGTGTGTGTGTGTGTGTGTGTGTGTGTGTGTGTGTGTGTGTGTGTGTGTGTGTGTGTGAGAGAGAATGAGAGAGGAGAGAGAGAGAGAGAGAGAGAGAGAGAGAGAGAAGAGAGAGAGAGAGGAGAGAGAGAGAGAGAGAGAGAGAGAGAGAGAGAGGGAGAGGGAGAGAGAGAGAGAGAGAGAGAGAGAGAGAAGAGAAGAGAGAGAGAGAGAGAGAGAGAGAGAGAGAGAGAGAGAGAGAGAGAGAAAGAGAGAAAGACATAACAGAGAAAGAAGAAAGAAGGAGAGAGAGAGACAGACAGACAGACAGAGACAGACAGACAGACAGGACAGACAGATAGACAGACAGAGAGAGAGAAACATACATACATACATGTATATATATATACCGGTATATGTATGTATATATATATTACATATATAAACGCGTGTTTAAGCGTGTATTGTAAAGCAATATGCAAAAGACCTCGCAGATTTTAAACTTCACATCTCTCCTTAACCCTCCCACGGCAACGGCGATAGCGAAGACAAATTCGAAGGTGATGCGATACACTTAAGGCAAAAAATGGAATCAATAAGTGAATCAAGAGACAGGTGAGTCACATGCACCAATTCAGGAGGCGTTACCTACGTGATGGGTCAGCACCTCCATAAAGGCTGTCGGGAAAGGGAAAAGGCCTTTGGGGAGGCAAGCAGAGGGAAGGGAGGAGGAGGGAGAGGGAGGGAGGGAGGGAGGGAGGGAGGGAGAGGGAGGGAGGGAGGGAGGGAGAGGGAGGAGGGAGGGAGGGAGGGAGGAGAGAGAGAGAGAGAGAGAGAGAGAGAGAGAGAGAGAGAGAGAGAGAGAGAGAGAGAGAGAGAGAGAGAGAGAGAGAGAGAGGGAGGGAGGGAGGGAGGGAGAGGGAGAGGGAGAGGAGAGGCGTTACCTACGTGATGGGTCAGCACCTCCATAAAGGCTGTCGGAAAGGGAAAAGGCCTTTGGGGAGGCAGGCAGAGGGAAGGGGGGGGGGGAGGGAGGGAGGAGGAAGGAGGGAGGGAGGGAGGGAGGGAGGGAGGGGGGGAGGGAGAGGGAGAGGAGAGGAGAGGGAGGAGAGGGAGAGGAGGGAGGGAGGGAGGGAGGGAGAGGAGAGGGAGGAGGGAGAGGGAGAGGAGAGGGAGGGGAGAGGAGAGGAGAGAGAGAGAGAAGAGAGAGAGAGAGAGAGAGAGAAGAGAAGAGAGAGAAGAGAAAGAGAAAGAGAAAGAGAAGAAAAGAAGAGGAGGAGAAAGGACAGACAGACAGACAGAGTAAACGAAAAGAAAAAAAGACACAAAGAGACAAGAGACAAAAGAAGGAGAAAGAGAAAACAAATGACTCATTAAACCGCACGAACGGATTGCCACCAAGAGAGAGCATTTCGGTCGACAAGGAAACCCGAAAAGAAATGATTAATATTACTCTTATTACCGGAAGAAAAGTAAGACGGTATAGGCAATCGAGAAGGAATCATCTAAGATAAGAGAAAGACGAAGATAAAGGAAGAATATAAGAGAAGATTTGAGAGAACCAGGTAGATGGAAATTAAGCAAAACAAGTTGTAAGTTATTATGACGATTTTATTGCTGTAAAAGGGGGTAATGTGACTCTTAATACTTAGCGTGAATACTAAAGGAATCACAGAGCATTACGTTATTCTCAAAGCGAAGATGAATAAAGGAATAATGAATGAATAAAAGGTAAGAACGTTCACCCAGCGGTTTATGATCAGTATCCGTCTGGTTCGTCAAACCGCACGCTCTTTTCACTTCATCTGTGAAAAGAAATAACGTATAGACTCGACAGCCGATCAGATAATCTTGTTTTCGCATTAAAATGAAAACGAGGCTTAACCCCGCCCCCCCTTTTTTCCCCTGGAGCTTAAAAAGAGAGAGAGAGAGAGAGAGAGAGAAGAGAGAGAGAGAGAGAGAGAGAGAGAGAGAGAGAGAGAGAGAGAGAGAGAGAGAGAGAGAGGAGAGAGAGAGAGAGAGAGAGAGAGAGAGAGAGAGAGAGAGAGAGGGAGAGAGAGAGAGAGAGAGAGAGAGAGAGAAGAGAGGAGAGAGAGAGAGAGAGCGAGAGCGAGAGCGAGAGAGAGAGAGAGAGAGAGAGAGAGAGAGAGAGAGAGAGAGAGAGAGAGAGAGAACAGAAATCGAAAAAAGAAATCGGACACTCTACCAACCCTCGTCGCCATGGCAACCAACCCAGCCAAACGCCAACCTAAGGAATCCTCCGACTTTTAAATACAAGCCTCAAAGCTTCGCAATCAGCTGCTCATTGCAATTTCCAGCGTGGAAAAGCTGCACGTACGAGCTTCGTTTCTCTCCTGCCGCGTGGATGGCACGTGACACCCCCCCCCCCTCCCTCCTCCTCCTCCTCCTCCCTCTCTCTCTCTCCCTCCCTTCATCACGTGGTCCGGACTGGCACCCGATCAGAAAGATAAGAAAGATGAGGAAGTCGCTGCACCTCCTTTGCTCGCCGAGGTATAAGGGTATAAGGGAAGCCATCCAGGCCCACAGGCGAGGTTGCCGGTGTCAGGGAACGTAAATGGCAACTGCTTGGCACGATTAAGAACCATTAATTTGGAAACGTGAAGCCCACGTCGGAGGAAATGTGACGCTGCCAAAATAATGGGCGGCGGGGAAGCGTCTTTGGCCTGGAAGTGGGCGCCGCGCCACCTGAACCCGTCCAGCTGACACAAAATTACATAATATACCCGCACATACACACACGCATATAGATAGATAGATAGATATAGATATATACAGGAAAGAAAAAATAAAGAAGATAAGAGAAAAGAAAGAAAAGTATCAGTGTAAAGGACAGAAATAAATTTATGTAATGAATAAAGTAAAAAAAGAAAAAAAAAACATTTCACACGAACTGAGAGGAAAATTAAAACAAGCTTGCACAACGGGATATATAGGTGTTATTCCTTTGTTCAAAAGCAATCCATATTAGTGCGCTTATTCAGTCATATATACAAACAAACAAAAATCGAGATGACAACATTTCATTGTAAAAACTAAAGCTCTCATTTTCAAAATTCAAATTGCTTTTGTATTCCGAATCGAGCTGAAAGAACAAAGTTAATACCAGGTGAACCACACGTAACTAATTCCTAGAAAAAAAAAATATATGACTAGTAACACCTGCGTTGAAAATAATAAGCAATATACTGAAAATAATATCAGAAAAGCACGGAGGAAATTTTAGAAATTATTTCACACTCTTTCTAGTTTAAAAATAGATGAGCACTATCTAGGTTACCTTGAGCCTTGTTACTTTGTCTTTGGGAAAGGGGGGCGGGGGTCACGGGGGTCACTCGTTCTTAAATGACCCTGGCCCTTGTGCAAAACTCAATTCTATTTTTCACATGTTAAAAAAAAAAAAAAAAAAAAAAAACTGTAATGTAGATCCCACTTTTCCGCTTTCTTCCTTTTTCCTTTTTTTTTATCTTCTTTTTTCTTTTCCTTTTTCGTTATCTGTGTTTCTGCTGCTGCTCGGTGTAGCGAATTAATCCAATCGCGAGAAGATTTTCTCAACTCTGTTTTTAGGGTCTAATTCTCCCTCTTTCCTCCTCTCCCTTGCTTCATTTTCTTCGGACCATCTCAGCCCAGAAATTCCCTCAGCCAGACCAATCCTCACCAGATCAATAATCCCCAGCCAGACCAATCCCTCAGCCAGCCCAATCCCTCACCCAGGCCAATCCTCAGCCAGACAATCCCTCAAGCCAGCCAATCCCTCAGCCAGCCAATCCCTCCCAGTCCCTCAGACAATCCCTCAGCCAGACCAATCCCTCAGCCAGCCAATCCAATCCCTCAGCCAGACCAATCCTCCAATCTCAGCCAGCAGGCCAATCCCTCAGCCAGACCAATCCTCAGCCAGGCAATAGCCCCCAGCAGCCCAATCCTCAGCCAGACTCAATCCCTCAGCCAGCCAGCCAATCCCTCAGCCAGCCAGCAATCCTCAATCCCAATCCCTCAGCCAGATCCCTCAGCCAGACAATCCTCTCAGCCCCAGACCAATCCCTCAGCCAGACCAATCCCTCAGCCAGCCCAATCCCTCAGCCAGCCCAATCCCTCAGCCCAGGCCCAAACCCATCCTCAGCCAGTCATCCCTAGCCAGACCAATCCCTCAGCCAGCCAGCCACCAATCCCTCAGCCAGACCAATCCCTCAGCCAGCAGCCAATCCTCAGCCAGCCAATCCCTCAGCCAGAATCCCTCAGCCAGCCAGCCAATCCTCAGCCGCCAATCCCTCAGCCAGCCCAATCCCTCAGCCACCCCAATCCCTCAGGAGCCAATCCCAGACCAATCCCTTCAGCCCAGGGCCAATCCCTCAGCCAGACCAATTCCCTCAGCCAGCCCAATCCCTCAGCAGCACCAACTCCCTCAGCCAGACTCAGCCAGCCAGCCAGGCCAATTCCTCAGCGCAGCCCAATCCCTCAGCCAGCCCAATTCCCTCAGCCAGACCCAATCCCTCAGCCCCCAATCCCTCAGCCACCAATCCTCAGCCAGAGCCAATCCTCAGCCAGACCAATCCTCAGCCCAATACCAGTCACCAATCCCTCAGCAGCCAATCCCTCAGCCAGCCCAATCCCTCCACCCAATCAGGGCCCATATCAGCCAGCCCAATCAGCCAGACCAATCCCTCAGCCAGACACAGCCGCCTCAGCCAGCCCAATCCTCATCAGCCAGCCCAATCCCTCAGCCAGCCCAGCCAGCCCAATCCCTCAGCCAGCCAATCCTCAGCCAGCCAATCCCTCAGCCAGCCCAATCCCTCAGCCAGCCCAATCCCTCAGCCAGCCCAATCCCTGCAGCAACCAATCCTCAGCCAGGAATCCCTCAATCCCTCAGCCAGCCCTCAGCCAGACCCAATCCCTCAGCCAGCCAATCCCTCAGCCAGCCCAATCCCTAGCCAGCCCAGCCCTCAGCGACCAATCCCTCA